GATTACAGTTCAGCGTTTAACACAATAGTGCCCAGCAGACAGTTCACAAAGCTGAGGGATCTGGGACTCAACAGCTGTCTGTGTACATGGGTGTTGGACTGCCCTTCCCCCCTTTTGCACAAGTCAAGGAGCGTGTCCGGTTACATTTCACTGTGTGTTCTACTTACCCCATATGCATGTGACGAATAAAGAACCTCGAACCTTGAAAATCGTATCATTCTAACATTTACAACTGACATGGTGTGTATTTGCTTATTACTATCACTGTACCACTGTACACAAAGGCTATGCCATGTAATTCATGCATCTAGTGATAGTAGGTGTAGACCTTTGTTTCATTGTTCTTGTAACAGTGACAATAAAGAGCTATTCTATTCTATTCTGTTCTAGTATTTTGGTGTGAAAATTAACTTGTAAATGTCATCCTAAAATTCTAGATCATGACTGGTTTTTAATCCACACGCTATAGTATTTTGTCTTCTAATATGAATAGATGAACTTTGGCTGGTGTAAAATGGAAATTATATTTTTGACCATTGCTTATTTATACAACATCTTTCTATTTTAATGAAATAATAACAACATCGACTCCATATTTCTGATAAAATCTGATTCTAATGCTTAACTTGTAAAAGATTTTTATGTCAAAACTGCATACACTTAATGTACTTGGCATTTCCAGTCAAATTGCACCATTATGTCTCAGAGTGACAGTACAAAAGGATAACTTTGTGTTACCTGACAGAAAGACGCATACAGCATTATGCAAAAAGTCACCTTTCTGTGCAGAGTGGGAGTCAGGTATGGAATGCTTAGGGGTTCTATACCATTTATAATATCAGCTGGATGAGTGAATGAGGATCAGACTTTAAAGTTTCATCCTATTGCTGTTGCATTTAATGCAATTGATGATCTCATTACTGATTCTGCAGGTCTGATTCCCAGTTTCACAGGTGATGAAATTCAAATGGTCCATCTGATGCAAGCTATCTACTACTGTTTGCTATACAATGAGAAAGGGTCATTTTGGACAATGTGCTTACCAAGCACTAAGTTCTGAACAATTAAACAAACCGAGAAGTGCCTAAAACTGCAGTTCCTCTTCACTTCAGCCATTTGAAGTTGGCTCCAAAAGCACATTAGTAGTGACAAAACTATGACCAAAAGTTTCGGCAGGAGCACAAACTTTGTTTTTCATGGTCTTTGCAACTTCAGATTTTTATGTTTCTATAGTGAAGAACAATCACAAGGATTTCATAAGGTTCAAAACTGTTATTGGGAAATATATACAAAAACTGTAAGTAAAAGATGGACACAGATGCCATGACATCACTCTGGTTTCCAGACACCACATTTTGAAGCCTTCTTACTTAAACTAGCAAAAATGCATCCTACCATCGTTTCTTTAAGCCTGCGCCACTTGTTTACTTCGCTCATCTATTTAAACGCAGATATGTGTGTTAATCTATCATGTTATTCTTTTTATCTTAATTATATCGCTGTGTATAGTGAAACAGCAAAAACAACTGTTCATAAACATCAAAAAAATGAAAATTATAAATTATAAAAATCATTAAAAAATCATTATATTTTTACTCTTCTTCTTTGCAGATTAATTAATTACAGGAACTATTAGCATCATTGTTTGATGAACACTTGCATGGCAACATATTTCAGTTTGCAGGGTTTTTATTTGTATGACAAATGTTCTTGATTTTGATGTTGGGTCAGCCACACACTCCAAAAACAGTTTACAATCAACAATGCACAGGTGCATGCAACACAGACATAATATTGCCATTCATTTTGAAATCAGGTAAAACTCATAGTATATCACATTTGTAAGGATTTGAGTTTACAAGATTTTTGTGCTATAGCTACACAGATATGATTTCCTGTTCCCTGTGAGGCTTAGATACAATGTTTCATTCAGATTAGGGACTCACATAAGCTACAAACATTACCAAAATAGTAGTTTAATAAAAATATTTTTGTCATGTTCTTGAAAAGCACTGTTCTTTGCGTCTTCTTTTAGAGCCTGATTATGTCGGAACTGTCTCACTAAAGTAGCATATTCTCCAAACCTTTTGTTACAATCAAATAATCAAACAGTACAAAGCTTTAAACTGTTTCACAATTTCTTTTTATTTTATCAGCAAATTATGTTAATTAAAGCTCATGCTAAGAACAGTTTCCAACCCAGCTCAAGAAAATGGAGAAAACCTCCATTAATCTTATAATCAACCATACAAAAAAGATGGAAAAGCAATATAGAATGCACTGATGCATGCTCAGTCATCCAGGTAAGTAAATCCCAAAAGGCTGAATCTGTTCATCTGGACGTAGCGTTTTCAGTGGGAGAAACATTCTCCTTCAGTCACTTGGATGAGTGACGAAACATTTCTCCCACTGAAAACGCTACGTCCAGATCAACAGATTCCACCTTTTGCAATCTAGAATGCAAATGATGGTTGATAAATAGCTATGTATGCAATGTGACCACTGGCTAAGTTAGACCAATTCATAGCCAGTGGCCTCAAGAAACTTTATATTGCATGGTAAAGACCCTGCAATATAAAAGAAACCCCAACAATCTAACGATCCCCACTGAGCAAGCACTTGGCCACAGCGGGAAGGAAAAACTCCCTTTTAACAGGAAGAAACCTACGGAAGAACCAGGCTCAGGAAGGGGCAGCCATCTTCCACGACTGGTTGGGGCATCGATGGTACAAAACATGGACATAGCTTGTTCGTTGGAAACATGAAGCAAATACAGAAGAACCTTAAGTGTACATTCAGTCTGAAGTCTACCAGATGGCAACAGCTAGCCTGATGCAAACCTATAGAAATCTATAGGAAAACAGCTTTCTTTCTTGATCCACTCCCCCTCATCACAGCTGGTTTTTGCCATCAAGATGGCAACAGTGATAATGCTCCTCTTGACACTACAAAATGGGACTTCAGAGACCAATGGATGATGTTACTGTAGTTATATCAATATTTTATACAGTCTATATTCTATACCAGGGCTGTCCAACTCCAGTCCTCGAGAGCTACTGTCCTGCGGCTTTTAGATGCATCCCTACTCCAACAGCTGAATCAAATGGTTGGATTGCCTCTTCAGCATGCCATCAAATCTGGCAAAGGCCTGATAACAAGCCATTCATTTTATTCAGGTGTGTTGGAACAAGGATGCATCTAAAAGCGGCAGGATAGTAGCTCTTGAGGACTGGAGTTGGACACCCCTGTTCTATATTGTCTATGGGGCTTAAGAGGAAGTTGTAGTGGTGTATATACATGGGATGTCGAAAGATGGGAGTGGGGAAGAAATGCTCCGTTCCCCTTACTTACTGCGAACTTCCTTTCAGAAAAGGGGATACATGTAGTCAGAAAATGCAAAATACAAGGCAGCACCTCGGAGCCATGTTATCCATCCCCCATGATCCTTTTCCTCTACGTCCCTGGGTTGAAACGTCTGCTCTTGTGGAGTTTCCATGTGAGATGAACTTTCTGTAGGGATGTCCTTGTTTTTCTCCTCCAGGTCTGTAGTTTCGCTTGTTTTGATCCTCTCTTCCTTTTCAGTTGACTCATTGGATTCAGGTGTGAGCTCAAAACTACTTTGATGGGGTTCACCTTTATCAAGCTCTTGCATTTCTTCTTGCGGAGCCTGTTCATTTTGTCTCACTTCCTTCTGACAATCAGTCAACTTTTTGGTAAGCTTTACTTTTTGGTAAGCGTTGTTTTGTTGCTTTATTTTGTCTTTTTCATTTTGAAAACTCTGTATCAGATCACACGTGCTCCCCGTTGCAGCATCCTTTTGTGATCTGAATGCCTGGTTCTCCCTTTGGAGATCTTCAACTTTTAGCTGCAATGCCAGCTTCTCCATTTCATATTCTTTCTGCTTACGGTGCATTTCTTCTTCCAGAGCCTGTTTCTTTTGTCTCACTTCCTTCTGACAATCAGCCAACTTTTTGGTAAGCTCCTGGACTTCCTGTTCCAGAGCGTTGTTTTGTTGCTTTATTCTGTTATGCTCTTCTTCTTCTTGCAAATCTTTATTGAGCAAAATCTCCACACTCTTGCTCTGCTGGTCAAGAAACTTTTGGAATTTTTTACCGGAATGCTCAGAGATTTTAAGTTTCTCCAGAGCACTTTTCAATTCTTGAGCATTTTGTTCATAAGCACTCTCCTTTGCTTGAACTTGTTGTGTCAAAGCTTGATTTTCACAGTGCAAACTGTCAACGCGATAGTTCAAGTCTGAATTCTCCAAGCAAAGCTTCTCATTTTCTAGTTGTAGTTCCCTTTTCTTCTTGTTTTTAGAAAACCCATGTTCTTTGAGAAGCAGTTCAATATTTTTTTGGAGGTTTTCATTCTCATCTTTTAATTCCCTCACTTGCTGGTGAAGGTTCTCATTCTCTTCAACCACGTCACTGGAAATGGAGGGGGACTCAGCCATTTTTGTAATTTAACTAAAGTTAAAATCTACTACTTACAACAGTACTAACTGTGTTCTTTGTTCACTACAAAACGTGCCTCAAATTACAGTCAAGTGTATAAACTGTTTGCCTGTTCAGTGAGGTTATAACTGAATGGATGTAGGGTTTGGGTTACTATATGGATTTCAGAGCAAAGGAAGCCTGTTTAAGATCAAAGGAATTCTAATAGAATGTGATGAGTAATGCTGATGTCATAAGAAACATGTGATGTCACAATGAACATGTCAGATGAAATGATGGAAAAAAACAAAACAATAGCATCATGTGGTAAATTTAATTAATGGTTCCATAATCTATAAACCTGTAATGGACATTTAGAAAAAATTAATAAAATGTTTTGAAATATATACATATATATTTTTTTTTAATCAGAATTTTTTTCTGATTTGTTTTGGAATAATGCAGACTTTACTTTAAAAATAAAGTAAAAAATTTAAGATTCATCAGCTAGTTAGCGTGAATGCTTGAAAGTTTAAATTTCATGCTTTTTTTCACCAGTTTCAGAGTTTATAATGGGTGTGTATGGGACGGAATGTTGGCACTAGAGTGAGACAGCTCAACTGCTACAGTGGGAGGAAGGAAAAAATTTATCTTAAAATCTTCTCTTTAAACTGCTGCTGTGTCCACAATGTTCGCTCTACAGCCATCATTTTAACCTCAAAACGTAGCCATCGTTGGCCTCTTTCATCCAATGTTGTTATTATTGTAGTAGACATTATGGTTCTTTCATAAATGTCACCAATGCACAGCCTCCTCCCTGCAACTCTTTCATAGAGTCCAATTTTAAAATGGCTCAGAAAGTTCGTTTGAAAATCAGAAGTACGGGCTGTCTTTACACTGTCACCACGTCCATATAATAAACTC